ACACGCACAAACTAACACACATGCACACACACAGTGGGCGCTTTTTCTAAATAACTTGTGGGAGCAAAGGAACAAAAGGAGGCCAAATTATGTACATCACACGCTACAGCTGACAATGACGAGCTTTAACATGCATTACTTAACAGACGGGGACAGTCATCATCGAATCGATGGAGGGCAAAAAAGACAGAATCTCATCCGCTCGATAGCTATTTGAGCGACGAACTTGTCAAAATGCGCGTAAATCGGCTTTAAAAGCCTGTGTCAGTTATAGGTTAATTCTTTGAACGTGTGGTTCAACGAACAATTGGTTCAGCTAACGTCTGATCACCGGTGCGCACGAATAGTTGTTGAAAGAACATTTGCCTGCTGGATAGATGCAACAGTAAATCGAAATTTGTACCGGGGTCTTATTGTTACATATGATAAATTATAGACTTCCCATATAAAATTGCCAAAGAAGTAATCGCTAGATGAAAGCTGAGAAAGAGAGAGAGAGAGAGAGAGAGAGAGAGAGAGAGAGAGAGAGAGAGAGAGAGCGAGAGAGAGACCGGGGTTCTCGTGGCCTAGAGGTTAAGGTGTTGGCCTCTCATTCACAGGTCCCGGGTTCAAATCCAGGTAACGACCGAAAACATATCTTCTTTAAAATTTTCTCCTTTCACCTCCTTTCCTACTCTCTAGCAATGTCCTGTCGTCTGCTTTCGTCTCCACTTTGCCCCCCCCCCCTCATCTCCGTTGCCTCCTCGTCTGGGCCCCTGCCTCTTTCTGCAGCCCATCTTCTGTTTTTCTTTGGGTCCTTCTTACTGCTGTCTTTCAGCCACACCCCTGATCTTCTTGTAGAAAAGATCTACACCTAGCCCTCTGGGACAAGGGCGAAAAATCTCGGAGGTCCCGTGTACGATAAGAGTATGCTTCGGCCGCCACCCTGGCAAAATTCAAAATTTCCTACCAACTGAAAATGTTTGGTGTGTCCCGAGCGCTCACATGACCTTATGCAGTTAAGAGCGCCGTAAAACACTTACCATTCCAAAAAAAACAAGAGAGAGACCAAGAGAGAGACACAGAGAGAGAGACAGAGACAAAGAGAGAGAGAGAAAGAGAGAGAGAAAGAAAGAGAGAGTGAGAGGGAGAGAAAGATACAGAGAGCGAGAGAGAGAGAGAGAAAGAGAGAGAGAGAGAGAGAGAGAGCGAGAGAGAGAGAGAGAGAGAGAGAGAGAGAGAGAGAGAGAGATGAAAGGGGGGGGGGGCAAAGAAAGAGAATTTCTTTGAAATTAAAGCACAAACTAATTTGTCACATTCCTGATACTCCACAGCAACTCAGCGTTGTCATTTTTGTAGAGAAACAATTATTATTTGGAAGAACTACTTTTTTTAATCTCCTTTATTATTTTTTTCCTATTGAAAAGCCCATGGGAAGCATGAGCTATAAACCTCTTATCATAATGTTCTGCTGCGAGGGGTAGGGAGCAGCAGGGAAGTAACCTGGAAGAACTCTTAAGGCGTTAACGACCACGTTAATTGGAGGCACGCGTCAGATGGTTAAGAGAAATGATGATGATGATGATGATGATGATGATGATGATGATGATGATGATGATGATGATGATGATGATGATGATAATGATGATGATGATGATGATGATGATAGAATAATTTGGTTATGGTGTTGACGAGTGAGTATCGGTGATTATAGGGGTTGTTCTCGGAGTATATTTAACAGAGCTTCCTGTGCCCAGTCTTGTCAGCAGATAACGGTTTTTTTTTTGGATTGGGTGCCTTTCCTATGCTTGAGATTGTGAAATAAGTAGCAGTGTGTTTAAAAAGCAATTTAAAGAAACTATCAGTCTCCCTTGATGAACGATCTTGGGTAGTGCTTCACGACCTTTTCTTTTTTCCCCATTTGTCTGTAGTGTTATAAACACTTTCTGGCTGTTCTTAACTCAAATGGAATACTTTCAATATCAAAGAAGTTATTTTTTCCTGCCTTGTTCGCAGATCATACTTTGCAGCTGGTTTATTTAGTGGGAACTATTCTGATATAGCAGAAGACGGTGATTTTTTGGTATCGATCCATATATTATGTGTCGTCATAGTGGTGCATATGACAAATTAAGCCGTTGAGTAAGGTCCACGTCAGCTCCTTTTATCTGACATATCTACTGCACCGCAAAATACTCACGTTCTGTTTATCTATGCTTTACACCAAACATACAACGCGTTGAATGCCCTATTTATACTCTCTTCTCTCAATGTCTGTCTGTTCGTCTATATTATATTTGTGAAACATTATGTAAGATATGGATATACAGATATCATGCTGATATTTCAGTGAAATCAAATCTGCTTCACAAAATATTGTCACAGGACCCCCCCCCCCCCCCCCCACAAAAAAAAAAATTTTTTTCTTCCCCCCCCCCCCCCCCCTTTGTAAAAATTGGGCCCCGGGGACCCCGAATTAAATAAAGAGGATTTTTTTTTTCCTCTCAGTGCCCTTTGTCCCGAAAAAAAAGGGAGAGCCCCCGCCCCTTGTGCCCCAAATATTTAAAAAAACAAAAAAAGGGGAACCCTGG